ATTGTATGCGGCAAATATTTTCTTTCTTACCGCTTCCACCTGAGGCTTCCATGAGAAAAACTGATCAAAGATCACACCAAGATTTTTCACCGTACTAGAGAAAGGGATAATAGTACCATCAAAAATAATAGGGGGCAATAATCCAAAATCAATCCTGGAAACAAAGTACGGACTGCCTATTATAATAGTCTGCGTTTTTAAAGGATTTACAGTAAGGCCGAATGACTTAGTCCAACTACTAATTATAGCTAAGTAGCTAAGTAGAATATTTCCGTCATACATGATTTCTATGTAACTTTAACCATTAAGGCTGCACCCGCGACGGAAGCTTAGAAAATGGAGTAACTTCTCCCGTTTTCCCAACATTTCCCTTCACTACTCTGCTCCTATTGATTGTAGCGTGATGAAAAGTATACTATAACCTTCCCAGGAGTATGAAGAATAATTGTACCAAGTTTCGTTAAAATCCGTCGAGTAGTTTTTGTTTCTATAAGGAACATACACACAGACAGACAGACAGACAAAAAATTTACTGATTGCATTTTTGGCATCAGTATCGATCACTAATCACCCCCTGATAGTTATTTTGAAAATATATTTAATGTACAGAATTGACCTCTCTACAGATTTATTATAAGTAGGTATATATAGATATACTGGGTGTCAATTCTAACATGGTTCTCTAAACCTAAATTTAAATTTGACAACAGTGTATCCTTGTCATTTTCTATACAGACTAAAAAGGAGGGACTGATGTTAAATTTAGTTTTAAGTTAAGGGAATCACGCCAGAATTGACACCATTAAAACGTTATATTAAGTGCAACCTTATTATAACGTAGCTCAATTTAACGACTTCTTACGCAAAAAGTATAGGACAAAAAATGGTTATAGTGGGTTATCCCTAAGAGATAGACATATACCATCGCGGACTTTTTTGTAGACCTTTTTAAGGTGTACAATACTGTAGTACATTATTTTGATCGATCTCGTAGGGTTCAGCCAGCGTTTGCAAGGTAAGCGCAAAAAAATGTGTTTATTTACGACCTTAGATTAAATATCTCTAAAATTATCAGTATTTCTCTACTATATTATGCATGTATTATACATATAAACCTTTCTCTTGAATCACTCTATCTATTAAAAGAAACCGCATCAAAATCCGTTGCGTAGTTTTAAAGATCTAAGCATACATAGGGACACAGGGACAGATAGCGGGAAGCGTCTGTGCTTTATACTATGTAGTGATATAGGAAATGGCATCTCTTTCGTTCACTCAGAAGATTCATTATACATATTCAACTTGGCATGACTGGAGTACAAATGCTCCTACTCATCACACAAACATCTGCCCCCACCGGGACCCGAATCCGGGACCTCTCGAGTCGGCGGTACCTTGAGACCCGGCGTACAAATCACACTACGCAAAGAATCGTTGGGTTATTATAAATATTCTTGGGTTTTGGGTTCTCGAGTTCAAACTAGGTTAGGTTAGGTTAGTGTTCTTACCAAGCGGCCAAAAAAGGAATAGGGTATTTGACAAGTTTTGGAAAACGATCTCATGTTATTGACTAATGTTTATGGAGTCCGTAAAAAGTGGATATTCATCATTCTGTTGTGTATTTCAGTAAAAATAACCAAATCAAAATCTCCATTTTTAAGTTGTCGCGAAAACGTTTCTCTGGACAATATGGCGTCTTACTAGTGTGTGACGTCACACGACTGTTATTAAAACGTCAAATGATACAATGTAATGTCACTTTAACCGGAAGTTTACTTGCGTGTGACGTCATTTTAAGCTCCGCCAATCCCAAGCGTTTTGGGTCACGTGACAATAGAAAAGAAAACTATTATCTTTTTCGTGGGTTTTCAGTAAAATTATGATATTTTTTTTGTAAAAGTATTAAAACCCCTGCCAATATTCATTCTAAACACAGATGCTAACAATTGGCACTTCATTTTTAATACTGTCAAGTACCCTATTGTTACATGCAAGATTAAGCAATGTCATTTTCTTTGTCTAATTATCCACGTTTTCACAAAAGCATTAGAATATTCAAGAAAATTCAATTTAATCATAATCATAATCATTTATTTCGTAATAAATAACACGTCATTAATAAACATAGCAGAAAATACATAAAGTACTAAGTGATGATTCAATTAATTCAATATTTCAAATTATATAAAAGTACATTACGGAGTCAAAACAATTAAAATACAATATTTTTACAAAAAGTCAAATACAAATATGTCAAAATACAAATGTCAAATAGAAATAATAAAACAAAAAATAAAATGAATTAATAAATTAATAATCATTCAATATTATAAAAAATAATTAGTCCAATTAATGTAAGGATCTATCATTTAAAAATTCATCGACACTATAAAAGGTTCTGTCAATGAGCCATAATTTTAATTTATGTTTAAAATTATTAAGCGACTTGGCGTCAGTGACCAATTTAGGTAACAAGTTATATACCGTCGAACCCATGACATGAGTTAGCCTGCCCGATTTGACCAAAGTTCTCTGCTCACTGGTCAGCTTGTTCGCACCTCGAGTATAGTGTGAATGCTTGTCACTGTTTTTACTATATAATTGTAAATTTGTTCGCACAAATATAGCAACTTGAAGGATTACTATCGACGGAAGAGTTAAAATTCCGAGTTCTTTGAAATAAGTTCAAAATTTATTAAATCATCCTGCGACACCTATTACACTGTTGGAAGTTTTTTTTTTATTCATATCAATAATTTTGGCTCAATAACTAGTTATGCGGATGAGGAGCTCGATGGCGCAAATGATTAGCGCGTTCGGCTGCGATCGTTGAAGTTAAGCAACTTTCGCAGTGGTCGGTCATTGGATGGGTGACCAAAAATTTTACTATCTCGAGTTCCTCCGTGCTTCGGAAGGCACGTTAAGCCGTTGGTCCCGGCTGCATCTGCAGTCGTTAGCACCCGCCAATCCGCACTAGGCCCGCGTGGTGGGTCATGGCCCAATCTCCCTATTCCATCCATAGCGAAGGCCTGTGCCCCAGCAGTGGGGACATTAATAGGCTGATGATGAACTAGTTATGCAAATAGATTACATCATGCGTTTAAATGATGACTTAAAAAATATAGGTTAACATAAGCATATCATATCAAATAACTTGAAAATGTTTACTTAATCGTTTCACAGAAAGTCTAGCATGCTTACTTTACTTAATAGAAGTACAGCTCAAATATAATCAGGGTCCCGTAGAGGGTTACCAACTTTTTTTCTATCTATATATCTATACATATATATAAAACTCAAAGGTGACTGACTGACATAGTGATCTATCAACGCACAGCCCAACTGGACGGATCGGGCTGAAATTTGACATGCAGATAGAAGTTATGACGTAGGCATCCGCTAAGAAAGGATTTTGATCAATTCTACCCCCAAGGGGATAAAATAGGGAATGAAAGTTTGTATGAAACTTTGTCAATTTTAAACCGATTGGGCTGAGACTTTGCATGCAGGTATAAGAAGAATCATAGATGAATGTCATTGTGTATAATACAAGCCTGAGAACAAAAACTGTAGTCTATACTTCAGCTCTACACCGAAGCGAAGTGAGGGCGGGCCGCTAGTCAAATATAGTATTCGAATCTGTTACCTTTAAAAATACAGTAGATGAGAGAGAGAGAGAGAGAAACATTTTTATTGACCACATTAATAAATTTACAAAACAACATACAAAAAAAATGAAAATATACATAATGGATGTAAGAGAGATGAGTAAAGAGAAAAAACCGCCGCCACGAGAAGCTAGAAGCGGCTACGGCTGAAGCGCGCGACAACGGCCGACTAAGGTAAGGGAAAGAGGGGTGGGGAATAGCGCGAGTGACGTGTGGCGGCGTTTTGTATCGGCGCATTAAGTGGCCGGTGCGGGCCACAAGAAGCGAGCAACGACGATTTGTAGCGTGTGGCGGCCACCGGCGTACCGTGTGTGGCGAGTCCATATAAAATGTATGAAAACTACAAGAAATATGCCGGTGGCGGTATTTTGTGGTTGTGGTCGGTGGCCCGTGTGCGGCGACACTAAAACATCATAGTGTGTATTTGTGTACCTATAAATTTGTACTGAAACCTCGGTGGGCGATTCTGATTCGCACTTGTCCGTTTTTTGTACCCATAAAGCGTGTTCAATACTTTTCTGACATAATACTTAAAGTTTGCGCTTCATCTGAAAATAGTTGAATATTGAATTTGAATAACGCAAACACAGAATACAAACCATACACGAGCTAAGCCCTCGTTTACACCAAGAACCAAGTCATATACTAGTTTTACACGAAATTTGTAGAATACTTGTTGTGTCATACTTTCGTTTTGCACTGCATAAACCACGAGTATCTTTATAAGTATAAATAAATAATAAATAAATATTTCCGACACTCACACGAATTAGCTTAGCCCCAAAGCACGGTAATATTATATAATATTACCGTGCCCAAAGTAAGCACTGTAAGGCTTGTGTTATGGGATACTAGGGTAACGGATAGAATACATATATTGTACATATATAAGTCTATTTATAGAAAGACATATTAAACATCCATGACTGGAGTGCAAATGCTCGTATTCATCACACGAACGTCTGCCCCCACTGGGATTAAAACCCGGGACCTCTCGAGTCGACGACACCATGAAACCCCCCGGCGTAAAAACCACTCGGCCACGGAGGTCGTCAAATCACTATTTACTTCACAATTTTTTGTGTATCCAACAAGTATAATGCAAGTATTGTATACTACATGTTTTATACATGTATATTTAAGTGTGAACAAAAAATGAAGACATTGGTGTCAATTCTGGCGTGATTCTCTAAACTTAAAACTAAATTTAACATCAGTCTCTCCTTTTCATTCTGTATAGAGAATGACAAGGATACACTGTTGTCAAATTTAAGTTTAGATTTAGAGAATCGTGCCAGAATAAAAACCATTGTTTAGTTATGATATCGCTCGTTTAATAAAACAAAGATGTAACTCAAAATTTGTGAATTCTGCGATTTTCTACTAAAACGCATATTCATTGCATAAAGAATAGGTAGAATTTGACACTGGCTCAGTTGCGGTCAAAATGAGCGAGATGCACGATCGCTCTTCTCTTTTTAATTAACTGGTATCGACAGGTCGATTCCAATAAAGTGGTGTGATTCAGTGTTCCACCGGCAGTGAGTCAAGCAGGACGAATTTTCGGTTGGTGTAACTTGAAATAACTCTGTCTTGGAATAAAAGGTAACCATTTTACATTTCCTAATTATAATTTAAAAAGACATTATTTGATATAATTCATTTTCTTTGAAAATACATTCAGTAGAACAGCGATACATTTCGAGTTAAATCTGTTTTGTTTTAAAAAGAGATATCAATTGCAGAGATAAACCATATTAATTCAGTTTAGTTTTAAAAATTACACCATAGTGTTTGAATCAATTTGGTTTACATCACGTTATTATTAATAATTACAAATGTATGAAATATTATTCTGAATTGCTTCTTTTTATTATTAACAAGAATATTGATTTAGCAGAAAGTGTTCAGTGTTAATTCTGTCTTTTAATAAATTTCATTTAAAAACATATTATTTTGTATATGATGTAAACAATATCATATTTTTATTTAAAGAATATTATTATAATGACGTCTTGGAGAACAAGGAGAATCTTGGATCTGCTTTCACAAAACAAAATTGAATCTGAAAAAGAAGACTTTGAGCCTGCCGAACGAAAAGATTACGAAGAGACAGTGGTCAATAATTTAAACTGTATGCAGGTAGGTATCTTTAAAACAATCAAAACATATTAATTATAATGGACCAATAAGTGTATAAAGTAATGGATTAACGGCTAGATGTCAATTAAATCAAATATTTTATTATGTTACGTGTTATTTTACGTCCTCGGTGCTGCCTTTTAATGTATTTTTTGTATAATTTATCATTTTAGGCAAAAGATGTAGAGATCCAAGAAAATATGCCTCCTGCTCCCAACATAATTTGTGACAAGCAAATGCTGGTGCCACATTTTTTGCTGACAACTGGAAAAACAACCGTAAGCCTTGTACCCGATTATGATAGTGAAGGTACACTAAGTGAAAACGAAATTACAAATGCAAATGATTGTAACATTGAGCCTGGTGTACTCGCCCCTAAAAATTATATTAAGCGTTCATCATCTTCTAGTTCATCATCCTCTACATCATCTTCCTCTAGTTCAACCTCTAGTTCCTCTTCATCTAGCTCTTCTTCGGAACCAAGTAATCAAAAAAACGGGCTTCAACCTGAGGGACGAACACAATCACCGTCTAATTCACCCACATGTAGTGAACCCGAAAGACGTATACGACAGCGCAAAAATAATGAAAGCGTGGCAAATTACAATATTTCTCCTATATACACCGATCAAAGCGACATTGATCTAAGCGACGACGATCCAACTATAGACTTTGATAAGCTGCTAGATAAGCCATCCAGAAGAAGAAACCTTTTGTTTGATCAACCTACTCCCTATTCCTCTGACTCTGACTGTAGCACAGAACAAAATGATCAGAGGGGCCGCAAGCTTTCACGAAATGTTAATAAATGGCAACAAAATACATCAAAAAGGATGAGAAATAAAGGTGAATCATACGTCTCGATGTCAAAATCTCGCAAAACTATTCCTGCCCGCTATATTAAAGATACATGTACCGAGAAATGTAAATTTAAATGTGTAGTGAACATAAATGTTGAATGTAGATATAAGATTTTTAGTGACTTTTGGAATTTAGGTAATATAATTACACAGAGGGCTTACATTCGAACATGTATGTCTGATGTGACTCCAAAATATAAGTATACTAATACTGAAAACCCCAGGCGTCCTAACAAAGCCTTCTATTTCACTATAAACGATGAAAGAATTCGAGTCTGTAAGACATTTTTTAAAAACACTTTGTCAGTATCGGAACGAATGGTATACACGGTTCAATCTAAAATGAATGAAGGTTTTATGATGGAAGACCTGAGGGGTAGACACAATAATCATAAAAAACTAAATCCGCAGTTAATACAAGATATCAAAACACATATTGATATGATTCCAAAAATCGAGTCTCATTACGTAAGGGCTTCGACTTCAAAACAGTATATTGGTGGCGATAAAGCGATAAAAGACTTGTACAATGACTTTGTAACAAAGCAAACAGAGACTAATAGGGAGAGAGGTAATTATATGGCGTATTACAAAATTTTTACAAAAGAGTTTAATTTAGGATTTTTCCAGCCCAAAAAAGATCAATGTGATCTATGTGTATCATATAATAATTCAAACACAATTGAAAAGCAACTTTTGGAAGTAAAATATTTAAAACATTTAGAAGAAAAAACATTGAGTCGTTCTGAAAAAGAAGCTGACCGTCAAAATATAACTAAAGATAGTAAAGTCGTAATCTATGATTTAGAAGCTGTATTACAATGTCCGAGAGGGGATACGTCAGCATTTTACTACAAGTCGAAGTTAAACAGTTACAATTTAACTTTGACAGAATTAGAAAAAAGAGAAAAAAAAGCATATGATAATGTACACTGTTACTTTTGGACTGAGGTAGATGCTAAACGTGGTGCAAACGAAATTGGATCATGTGTTTGGGAATATTTAAAAACTGTATGTGCGGAAGATGCATCTCTAAAACAGATTATATTTTACTCAGATAACTGTTGTGGGCAGAATAAAAACAAATATATCACTAGTTTGTATTTGTATGCTGTGAATTATTTAAATATTTCTAGTATAACACATAAATTTTTAATAAGGGGTCATACCCAAAATGAGGCAGATAGTGTTCATAGTCTTATAGAAAGAGAAGTGAAGAAAAATTTAAGATCAGGGCCAATTTACTGCCCTGATCAATATGTAGCATTAATCAAAAATGCAAAAAAAAGTAAGCCTGCCATTAATGTACATGAATTAACGTTCGAATCTTTTGTGAACTTAAAAGCTCTCCAAGAGGAATGGGGATATAATTTTACCATTGACAAAGAAGGAAATAGTGTAAATTGGAATGATATTAAGGTACTGAAAATGATTAAATCGGAACCTCTGAGCTTTTATTATAAGACTTCATACAGCGATACTATTTTTAAAGAAGTTGATGTTAGGAATAAAAGGAAGAAAATGTTACCAATATCAGATATTTCTTTAACTAATGCTTATAATGAAAGGCAACAACTTAGTGATAATAAAAAAAGGGATTTAAAAGAATTGATAACAAATAAGTTGATTCCTTCCTTTTACACCAATTTCTATAATTCTATAATTTAATATAGATACAACTTCGAACCAAAGGTGATAAAAGTCCTTACGTTTGTATTGTGTTAACTCTATACAATTAAAATATTTGAATGTTTATTGATGTGTAACATCTTTCCTCTCGCTTTCCTGCAATTTGTGGGAACGATTTCGTGAAATGGGACGGAAGTGTGTAACAGGAAGTCGCGAAAGCACGCGCTATTTGATTTGATTTTAGAACATAATGTTCAAATGGCTTATTCCTTTTCTAGTAGGTTTTATTACTTTTTTTACTAATATAAGGTGAGGTTTCAAATGTTTCACATCATACGCGACTACTGTAAAGCTCGTTCGTTTTTTTTAATATTAGTTTTTTTGATTTCACATCTAACATTTTTGCAAGTGATACTGTTTTAGATACTGATTTTATGAATATATTTAAACGTTATGTTTATTTTTGATAAGAAGTTCAGTTTTTGTTTTGCTTTACATTTACTATTGTAGTGAGAGGTTCTAAACACTGATTGTATAATAGAAATTAAGAAAAATATTTAACAAATAATGTAGATTTAGCCAAAGAAGTCTATTTTTGTTTTGTTTTACTTTTTATAGATTATAACGAGATTGATAGTAAATGAATGTGATTAAAATTCAAATATACCTAAAGTTAATTAATTTGGGAGATATTGTTTTTCAGTTTTAAGTTTCAAAGACTGATTTTGCGAACCTTTGTGATAATAAAAATATCGAATTAAAGTCGGCTTACATGTTTTATTTCTACCAAAAATGATACAATATAAAGTAAAATTTCATAATCAATATTTTGAATACTAATAAAAGGAAGTAATGTGTGATAATCTCATAATGACAATATCGCTTTAAAACTAAAGTAATTATTTACGATATACTTCATTGGAAATTTCGAAAATGTTACAAAATTTTTGGCATAAACCGATTTAAGAAGCTAAGGTTTTTTTTGGAGCTAAAATTATGTAACTATAATAAATTTTAGCTAAATATTTATACGGATTCCCAAATCTCTGAAATTTAACTTAGTGATATCATAAGCTAAATTTATAGAAAAGTTAATAAATGTTCATAAATCCCTAATCGAACACTATGCGGTCGAAGTGCTAATCTTTAAACCGTTATTCCCACAAGTAATGATTTTTGAATTAAATCTTTGTTTTATTAAGCGTGCGATATGAACATTTATTATACCTTGGTGTAAAGGATTGTGGATTTTTTTTGAAACTATAGAGAAGAAGAATTATGCCAAACCATACCGCGATGTACATGTATGAACAGCGCCATCTGTTAAAAAACTCACACACCATGTACCTACCTATTCTAACGCAATGTCAGTTTACTTTTTTAAAATTTTTACGTTTTTTAAATTATGTAATTATATTAATATATATTTTTACAATTATTATTATGAAAGTTCGTTTCACTTCTGACATGCGTATTCTGTACACACGCTGTTTTTTTTACATCTCTGTATTAGTAAGTTGGTATAGGTGTGTACCTAGAATACATTTATTATCTCTTAGCACACTTATGTATAATGTGTGACTGAGTGATTGCAAATATTGACACAGATCGATTCGATTCGGTGCTATCGACATACTAATCATAATATTTGTTGCATTTTATATTATCATTGTTTAAACTAGTGTTTATAACCTTTTCTACGATTACATATTGGAACGAAAATAACAAAAATAATCATAATAAAATTACAAGCATATACTCGAACTAAAAAAACCCGGCAAAGCGCGTGTCGGACGCGCGTACGATGGGTTCCGTTCCATTAACCGTAAATCTAATGTTGTATGTATAAGACACTGTATTATAATATCCAGCACAAAAACGAAAAATAAGTGATTTCAGTTGAAATTTTGTTTTAATTAATTCATCTAAAACATAAAAAAATCTTCCTCAATTAGAATTTCTGATCTTAGTTTCAACAATTTCTAAGTAATTTGCATTTAAACGATACCTCAAAAGAAAGTACAATAACTGAATATGTTTTTGAACAAACAATACACCTGCCGTGTTTTTTTTTTCTAAGCCTCCGATAAACAGCTTTTTCCATTTTAAAAAATTACAATATTTTTTAATATCTGTGAAAAAATTGTTTGCTGATACAGATGTTTTAAACATTTTTTCTTAGTTTGCTTTTACATTTGTTTTATCAAATAAAATCAAAAAGAATTCATTTATTATTTCAGTTAGCCATTATTTGGAACTAACTGTGTTCTTTAAGGTTTTTTTCTTTAAAATCGTTAAAATTTATTAAAAATAAAATGGTCAGACTTCGTCTGAGACAAGTGTGGCTCAAATGTTTCTAAATGATCTCTGATAGCTTTCCTTTAAAGCTTTGCACTCATCTTCCAAACACCCTGTATATGTCCCTGGCCCTGTCAGAATATCAACGTTGTCGTGACACGTTTGGTTCCATGTCACGGCAGCTGAGGTAGGGTCCTGATTGACCAATATTATAACTGTTACGTTTATCAATGTTTGTAATGCTAACTTTTAATATGTGTTTTTTATTTTTGCAGTTTATAATTATATGTTTGTGTGTTTTATTGGTCAATAAAATTGTTCTCTCTATATCTCTCTCATATATATATATTGTCACAAACGCTCTCGAAACGTAACCGCGAAAGTGCTAGAGATCGAATGTGCCAGAGAACCGCGGGTCGCGATAGAGGCCGAGTAATGAGGCTCATTCTAAAATGAGCCTTATGCAGTGCGGCGTAAGGGAGAAAGTGCAACGACATCTGCACTTGTTTACAAGTTATGCGCGTTACCTGCGTAGGTATAAGTAGGCACTTCGTACTCGCGGGTGCTAGCTAATTCTCAATTTAACAGGTACTTTCTAGAATGCGTCGATCGGCGTATATAAGCGCGATTGGCGCGGCGCGCAGAGACAGTTGAGTTTCAACCTAGGTTACAACAGCGATTTCGGAGCGAATCCAAAGGCGATCAAAGTGTTCAAGTGCGATTGTTTAGAGACTTGTATAGTGAAATACAGTGTTTAGTGATGGTTTTGTAATAACATTTTCTGTTAATTGTGTGGTGAATAAAGAACTGTCAAGCGTGAACTGGCATATAATTTACCCCATCCCGACACGTAACAATATGTTTGTGTGTTTTATTGGACAATAAAATAAATAAATAAAATAACTCTCTCTCTCTCTCGTGTCTGTGTTTGTGTCCATTCCCCAATGCCGTAGGCACCGCCTAATGTTAGGTTATTTAAGAAAAGAAGTTTCTTATCATATGTGTTTTTTTCAGTTTTTTTTTACTATGCAACTAATATTTTGTAAATATTTCAAGCATACTAACTGCTGCCGTTATTATTTTTAGAGCAAAAATCGGCAAAAATATTACGTTCCTTGTACGGGAGCCCTCAATTATTTATTTATTCCAGTATTCCGTACTCGTTGTTATATCGGAAAAAAATACATCATCTGTAAAAATTTCAACTGGCTTGCTATGACAGTAGAATGAATGAATGAATTAACAATATATATAAAACATAAAACTCAAGGAACACAAACACAAAAGGCGGCCTTATTGCTAAGGTAGCAATCTCTACCAGGCAATGGTATTATTATATTGTAAGTAGAGTCTTAGAAATAGGGTCCCATTTTTACCCTTTTGGTACAGAACCCTAATAACGAGACATTGTATGTTAGTAGAGTTAGTTTGTTTAAGAACTTAGCACTATTATTGTTTAAACATTATGAAAATCACGAGGTGTAGGTGTGATTTTAGCGGTGAGGGCCAAACTCAACGTTAATGTCCCCAGTGATGGGGCACTAGCCTCCCTTATGGATAGATGCAGACCCCTCTTTCCCAGTGGGCACTTTGGGCTAGTGCCCAGGGCCCCGCGATCGATAGGGGCTGTAACGTCCGTGACGTTGCAGCCTCCTTGTTTAGGTAAACTCTTTGCTTTTGCAATGCCTACGGTTGGCAGTTATATTAAAAAGTTAATGTCATGATTTTAAGATTTGAAATAAGGAATCGTCTGTCTTTTGATAGAAGGTTCCATTCAAGAGTAGATCTTCAGGCACCAAGAAAACCTCTCGTATTTAGATAAAATTCTTTATATTCGCCTGAATGATAATATAAAATAATAACCATCGTCTAGTTGTTTTACTGAAGAGTCACGTCCCCAGGTTCTATCCATTCTGGGTAGAACTCCATAGGGCCCACCTCAGATCCCTAGTTCCTGTTCGATCACCAAACGGGGGTCATAGGGGCCCCATTATCCTAATATGCCCAGGGCCTCCAATAGGTCAAAGACGGCACTGGATGGATGGAATAGGGAGATTGGGCCACGCACGACTAGGGTTGCCAACCCTACTATATAATATAGTATCTCTTATCTATTAGACAAGTCCGTCCGTCTGTCTGTGGTGCTGTTTCAGCGGCCAAACCGTAAGAGATAGATAAAGAGAATATTTAAGTTATAAGTTAAGAATAGTCTTGTAAGACTACAAACCGGATTTGAGTAACGTAGCACTTCCGGTTTTCGAGAAATCAGGTTTTGGTGAACATTTGGTTCACTGGTTTGCTAGTCCTACTATATTAGGAGATCAAATACTATATTTCCAAAAAAATATGTAAAGAAACTACTATATTTTGCTCTAAGCAGACTTTTGCCAATAAAAGATTTCTTAAAATAAAAGCTGAAGTATTAAGTGTCGCCGCTCACGGGCCACACGCCACGGCCACAAACGCCGCCACGAGAAGCTAGAAGCGGCTACTAAAGTGGCTGAAGCGCGCGACAGCGGCCGACTAAGGTAAGGGAGAGAGGGGTGGGGAATCTCGCGAGTGACGTGTGGTGGCGTTTTGTATCGGCGCATTAAGTGACCGCCTAGTGCGGGCCACAAGAAGCGAGCAACGACGACTTGTAGCGTGTGGCGGCCACCGGCGTATCGTGTGTGGCGAGTCCATATAAAAAGTATGAAAACTACAAGAAATATGCCGGTGGCGGCGTTTTGTGGTTGTGGTCGGTAGCCCGTGTGCGGCGACACTAAGGTATAGAGCAGCAAAATATACTCATATCAAAAATATTTTAACCACTTATATTTTTTTCAATTTTTGTCATCTACTATATTTGTAGAGGTAACAGCTTCGAAGATACTATATTTGATAGAATAAAGGTCGGTAACCCCACGCACGACCCACCAAGCAGAGTACAGAGTACGAAGAGTGGGTGCTAACGACTGCATATGCAGCCGGGACCAACGGCTTAACGTGCCTTCCGAAGCACGGAGGAACTCAAGATAATAAGTTTTCGGTCACCCATCCAATAACCGACCATTGCAAAAGTTGCTTAACATTCACGATCGCAAGCCGAATGCGCTAACCACCTGCACCATCGAGCTCCATTATAACATACAAACTTACAAACAGAGCATGTAAGTATAAATAAAATTATTCAACACCTTTTGTGCTGACAAAATATTGTAGTGTGGCAACATCGAGACAGAAGAACAATGGTGATAGGTGCCCGGCTTAACGCCCACTGTAAAGTCGTCGAAAATGTATTGGATTGAATATATTTGTACAATTAAGCAAGTTGCAAACTGAAATACTTATAAGCTACTCCGAAGCTAAACGTAAGCCAGCTTAACTAAGCTTAATAAAATGAAGAGCGGACGCGAGCTGAGAGACATTTGAGAAATAGGTAGGTATTTGAAAAAAGCTATTGATGTCACGTTAGATCTAGCCCAGACCTCAACCCATTAGACTTCAAATTATGGTTACTTTTAGAGGACATGGCCTGCTCTAAACGACACGGTGACATTGAGTCTCTTAAAAAGTCTTAGTAGCAAGCAGTGGCAAATTTTTCCTTGGAAACAGTGCGCAGATCATAGATTCGTGGCCAAACAGAATAAAGGAGTGTATAAAAGCCAGAAGTGGCCATTTCGAATGGAACACTTTTTAATTTTTTGCTGAAACTTTAATAAATATGTAGATATAAATTTTAATAATATTACATGACTTCATTTAAAAAAATGCATTTTCATTTGTAACAGAACTGATGCCTGGTCTGGGTACAGTCTACCATAGGTCCATCGTAAGTCCATTTACCTGACTCTGACCCGAATAAATAATTATTAATTTCAAAAGCGACAATTAAGCCTACCAATAATTACTAAATTAAGGAAAACGAAAAAACAATTCAAGAATTTCTTTTCAAAACTCTCAGTGATAGATAATTTTCTCAGTTCTTTCTCGCCTTTTTTTTTTGTCGGTGTGACGCATTCTAATGTTTCTTAAAGTGTTTGGCACGAAATGTATGGAGCTGGCTTTTTCGATAAGCTTCTGTGAGGTAGTCAATACTACAATAAAATTCTCACGTCCACTTGACCGGAATAGCGTATATTTTGACGATTCTACTAATTCTTCAGTTACGCAGACAGTTGTAACACCAAATCACACCAATTTCATTTCACAATATCCACTATGAACGAATTTAAGAATGATTAAAATAAGACGCCAACCACACTCGATGAAATCCCGCCAAAAACTTTTCTTTCTGGCCAAAACGCCAGTGTTGCTAGTAACACTTCATGCTATTTATACCTTTTTAAAACAAACTTGTATTATCTACATAATGTATTAGTATAAAACAGGCGAGTTATAAATATTTACCTACCTTATTT